CGTGAGCTGAAATCTTTCCCGTGTATAATGGACTATTTTCTTCTGTGACAGCAAACAGGACGAATCAATGGTTATTGAGAAGATATTACATTATATCAAAATCAGAAAATTATCGACATGAAATTAGAATATTTCAACAGGAATGACACCTGCGTTGCAGGGATCATTTTTCAGGCATCTTTATCAATCTTTGAGAGTAATCAAATATATCTGTCAGCCTAATTATGTGATTTGTTTTTTATTTATGTTCTGGTTCCCATGAAAAGGGATATCCTGTAATGTTCCGAGAACACCGTGAGAACCAAGGGACATAAGGTAGGAATTGGTGTTCTTCTTAAATTTATGGAGGTTATATGCCCCGGGGAACACCTTCCTTGGCAGTGTGTTCCAGAGCCTCGCTGTTCGTTGGATGAACGAGTCTTTGGAAAGAGATGTTCTTCAGGTCTTCAAAGTGACTACGATGGGGTGCTAAGCCTCAACTCGACGGGTTAATCTCGCGGGGACTGCCAAGGGAGGAACAATTATTGATATTTCAGAAGAGCATCGTCCATGGAAATATCTATAAAATAGAGCCAGATCGTCAACTGGAACAGTGTTCCAGAGAAGTAAGTGAACTTGTGAGCGAGGCATCACCCACGAGACGAATTGCCCTTTTTTGGATAGAATCCAACAATTCCAGGGTATATGGGAACAGTATTCCAGGACAGGTCAGATCTGTGCCGTATAGATCATAAGCAGCTGAATGGAAGTGAAATAGCTCCTGCATGGCCCGAAAGAGAAAACCAAGTTTTTGGGATGCTATTTTAGCAATTAGTGGTTGTTTAGTAATTTACGTAACCGCGAAGTCGAATGGAAGATGAAAGGACTTGCAGTTCTTTCTCGGAGACGGTATTATTGGCTTATTTTTCAGAACTATAGCACAACAAAAATCATCACCAGAGTATATATTTGTATCATATATCCGGGAAATATGCACTAACATTTTTCCTGTCGGAAAAAAGTAATTTTTCTCCAAATGACATTGAAAGTAGCTTTTTAAGTAATGATTGGATCGAATTGATTATCAAAATTGACAATGACTCTTGGTGAACACAAATTGATGGATTATTTGGACTTGGACTGCGTGAAATTGAAACGAATTCGGAGAAAAAATTATATGTTCCACACGGCAGAAAAGCAGATTTAATGCCTTGGCTGGTTTCCTAGCCTCTGCCTAGTAAAACAAATAACTATTATGAAAATTGACATTTTATAACCTGTCAACTTAGATGAAATTTCAAACTTTTTTCCCGTCACAGAAAAATAATGTATTAATATACCATCATCAATAATAGGTAGAACAGACCTCGCGAAATGCAATATCTTTCTTCTAGTCTCAAACTGTATCGGCGGAACCTTTCACTGTAATAAGGCCCCTCCTTGACTACTATAAAAAGCTACTCCACAGTTATGATACACATCAGTTTCTGCACATCTTACTTGAGGTCTTCTCAAATAATATACGAAGCAAAATGTGGTCTATTGTAAGTATATCGACCAAAATTCCTTCATTCGTTGTTTCGAGAAAAGTGTTAGTGATGTAATTTTGAGTGAAATTGATTTTTCTTAACAGTGATCTACAGTGTGATTTGAACGAATTAGGATATAATGTATACAAGGTGGCCTAAAGAAAATCATACATGGGGATTCGGACTACTGGTTAGAGGGTTCAAAGGGATTTCCAAGTATATATAAATATAGATTCAACTATACGAGGTGGAAAAACTTCACATCTGTACTAAATTTTGGCACTATACTTATAAACGAAGAGATGCGAATTGCAAAATTATAAAAAAATAGTCCAAATAATTATTTTAAATGGAATGTATATTTTCAACTCTGGTGAATTTTTTTTTCAAAGTTGCTTATAACATATATGGCTGTGGACTATGCACATCAGCAGAAATGCCATGGAAACAAAACTGGGATTTCTGTCTCATTTTCAATTGAAATGAGATATTCCGTAGAGGAGAAATACGAAATAGAAAGATCTTCACTTTTTCGTTGGAACTGGTGAGATTTTCTCTTGAGAAGGGTGCACCTATTCGTCTACGGAAAAATATACAGTTTTGGAGTATAGATCGATTGAGACATTGAATTGCATTACATAATTGAAAGTCAGGCTCGCTTCGGAATTAAGTCATTGAATCAGTATAATATAGAACAAACCTGATTGAATGATAAGTGCAGAAGAGGATCATCATCAAAATTGAATTTTGTCTAGAATTGCGCATTTTATATTTCAGTTCGAATCAGTCCAAAAAGTTATATGAACTCACGAAATTCTATCATTTCATCTCATCATTAAAAATTGGCAAAGATCACTCTTCTTAGATATGCATTGAAATAAAGGATGATCCATTTGAAAAAATTCAACATTTCCACCACATCCCCCCCCCCGTATATTGAATGGAGATATAATGTTTGACGCATTCGAACGAGAAAAGCATCTGATTCAAGATTTTGTTCGGGAGTTTTCAATATTTTAATTAGTTTTCGATATATTGAGTGTTGAAGTACGTTCATTATAGGACACCCTGCATAAAGACAGCTACTAATCATCCGTTTTTCATCATTTTCCAGTGCTCCACCCTCCTCCTCGCCACGTACCTAAGCCACGCCGGGTCGAGCTTCGCAGAAGGCGGCCACGACCTTGGAGGCGGGCATGACGCTGGAGGCGGCCATGACCTTGGAGGTGGGCATGACCTTGGAGGTGGAGGCGGCGAGATCTCTGGATACGGAAGCAGCGGCGGAGGCGGTGAATCTTGGCAACCCTCGGTAGAACACCAGCACCACCACATCCCCACCAAAACGATCGAGCACACGGAGCCAGTCCACATACCGGTCGTGAAGAAGGTTAGTGTCGGCGATGTTCATGCTGGTATAATTATTGTACTATTTCTGGTACTTTTCACTAGCTTCTGGTACGCTATAGTATTACCAATGAAAATTAGAGGCAATTCTAGTATTATTTTCAATTTTTGGCTTTTGGGTCCTTCAAGTCTTCATATTTACCTGTATATTAACGAAGAAGACAGTTGATACCTTAGATCATAGAGGAATGAACTAACGTTTATACAAAAAGAAGAAGAAATTAATGAAAACTGACATGCCTTTATAGACTCTGATCTTTTGGAGTTAGGTTAGTTTCAAATGTTTGTGCATCATCATTGAAAATGTCGATCTTTATTTTCTTCGTTCTATTCTGTAGAAAGACCAAGTTCGCCATTCAAAATTTAGTTATTTGACCTGCTTAGCTGTCTCAGATAATATGTAGCACGAACATTTCCAAATTTTCAAGTTGAAATTTTAGGTGAATCCAGCCGGGCTTTAGTGAATTGTAATGTTCAATTCTAGTACAATACATGTTAACCCAGAACATCCTTGGTGTCGACGAGTTTAGAATTTTTTTAAATAAGTGTATGCATGTTCGGACATTCCTTGCTCCAATTGGCTTTGGATTAACTATACAAAAGTGTAAAAGGCTCACGTTATTATTTTTTCAAATAGTGACTGTAACTATCAGAATAGACAATTGTTTGTGCCTATTTGTACAATTGTACCTGTCTATTAAGATTGGTATTGGTAACTGTATATGTGGATAGTGACAGATGCGCTGGGACCTGATAGCTATTGTGTCCCATCTTCTTCTTCTTCTTGTTTATACAGCAGCTACTCAAGCATCAATTCGTTTGGGAATTTGAGGATTTTGTGGGGATCTGTTCGCGATATTCCTTCCAGAGCCAGCTGTTACAATCCCAGTATATTCGATATTTTGTAATGTATACAACATATAAAGGGAACATGCTGCTGCTCCCTTCCCTGAGTCTAGCATTCTTGGATATTCTTTGAATCTACAATGGCCCCTTAGTAATCGTGTTATCAGTGTCTTCGATCTTGCTTGGTTGAAATTGCTGAGAAGATCAATGGTCTGCCGGGATCCTGGAAGTATTTGCCAGGGTGTTGCACTCATTACATCCTCAGCTTTATTGCATCCTTCTAGGAGATCAGAAATTCCAAGGTCGCTGAATGGTTCTGCTCCGATCAGTGGCGTTGATGCTCCTTTCCGTGGCAGAATGTCCACTTGTTCATTTTCCTCCATTCCAATGTGTCCTGGTACCCGTATCCTCAGAAGTGGATTACCTTGTTGATCTTGTCTAGATTGTTGATTTTGTCTAAGCATAGGCATTTAGACATTCCCAAACCATCTTTGAGTTGATGTCGAAAGTGCTCAACGCTTCGATGGCTGCTTGGTGGTCGACACATGTGTGAATTTGAAATAGAAACAACTTTCCTCGGTGATCTTCATCGAAATTCGAAAAGATCTTTTTTTCAGTTACTAATTTGAGAAAATGTGATTCCTGACAAGTAGCAAAAGTCACGTGACTCAGATCGAGTAAACCAATTTCCATCTTTCTTGAAGCAAAACTCAACGGTCAAGTCGAATTTCAAAATAGATTGTCATTAAAAGTTTTTCTGATATGATGCCAACTTTATGAATGACCCTGTATATTATTGTGGAATCTCACAAGTACAGTTATAACTATCTAATAGACAGTTGTAACTGTGAACAGAAACGGAGATCGTTAGAACTGTCTATTATAAAAAAAAATATTTGTTATTCAATATTATCAGCATGTTTCTGTCGGATTTTTTCAATAATTCTGTGATTGCTTGCTGCTACCATGCTACCGAATGTACGGGGTCGTTGAGCAAATATCTAGGGTACAGGGTCCAATTTGAATAATGAGACCTGTTACTTCATCTCAAATTATTTAAAACTTTATCAACCGTTTTACCATGCTCATAACCAGGTTTTTGCATTTTTCTTCTCTTTTTGAGTACCAATTTGTTTCACTTGATATACCTACTTATTGTTTCGTTGTTCTCTGTAGAATAATTTCTTTCTGGCTGCTGATGAATACCGTTTGGGTCCAAAACATGTCCCCCCTTTCTTGAATATGAAATTAAACGATGTGGTGACGACTTGGGAAGTTTTTATTATATTTTATAATGAGAAACGTAACGCGCTTTCGTAGGTCGGAGTACCAGTACCGCATCCCGTAGGAGTACCAGTGCCGCAAATCATCAAAGTACCGGTGCCGCAGCCGTACGCTGTCCACGTACCGGTACCCCATCCCATAGCGGTACCCATCTACAAGCTGGTACCGCAGGAAATCGAGAAGAAGGTGCCCATCACCGTAGAAAAGCTGGTACCCGTGTACGTGGACAAGCCGTACAAGATCGTCATCGAGAAACACCATCCCGTGTACGTGGACAAGCCTTACCCCGTACACGTGCCGGTGTACAAGCACGTGTATCATCACGTGCCCAAACATCATGGCGGTGAAGAGAAACATGGCTGGCACTAGGAGGAATTGGCTGTAGGCCGATTTTCATCGTCTCATCATCATCGTCATCATCATCGCCTCGTCATCTTTTCTGCCAAACCAAATCGTTGTTGTTGTTGTTTGTTATGTTATTTTTGTTAATATAAGAATGTTTTTATTTTTTACTATGTTGTCCGTTCATTTTCGTCAGATAAAATCACAACACTTCGAACACGAGTAGAGCTATGCACCCTCATTGTTTGTCAGCTGTTGAAACAAAGCACCATTGATACAAATCTCATCTGTATCGCATTGTCTTCTTCCGGCAGAAAGTGAAGAAAGCTGTGTTCAAGGACCTGTAAGCATCTTTTCCATCTCGCTTAAGAAGCAATACTTTTTTGCTTAAGAAGCAATATCATCTTGCTACAGGAGCAAATTCATCTCGCCTAAGAAGCAAGACCATCTTGCTCAAACAGCAACATAAAGTTGAATTTCTTGCAAGCGTTAAAGGGCATGTATGAATGTTTTTCATTTTCCTCAAGAAGCAGGATCATCTTGACTAAGAAGCAAGATCATTTCGCTTGTAATCAAGATGATCCTGCGAATCAGGCCAGATGATCTCGCTCATTTGTTCAAGATTATCTTGCTACTTGAGCAAAATGAAAACAATTAATACAGTCCCTTCAACTCTTGCCGAAGAAATGGAAATTTATATTGCTGTTTGAGCAAATATCTTGCTTCTCCAGTGGAATGAAAAAGATCCATACTGGTTCTCAAGCGATTCCATACAATACCCATCCCATCATAGTCGAACAATTTTGTTCTTAAATCAAGAAACTTCGAGCTTGTTAAAGGTAGATAATATCTCAATATAATAAGTTAATATTTTGCCAGAAGATCCTTATTTTCTTGTGCCAAAAGATTATAATTTTGAAGGAAATTAACATACAGCTTACTATTAGAGCAATGATGGTCTAAAATAAACTCTAACAATTGGTAAAAAAAGATTTATTATAGAAACTTGGTCATCCTAATATAACATAACGTGAATGAGAATATGTATAATATAAATGAAAACTTGAACATGATAGTAGAAGCATCAAACACTGTCTGTACGTTCATCTAGGAGGTGAAATGATCATTTTTTTAGATTTTCGTAATTTGCTGCCTTCGTATCTTTCCCCAAAGTATCACCGTGCCTGAATGTTCAACCTTGAAAACCTAGAGAGAAGAGAAGAAAATAATTTCAAAACTGTGGAATCACTAACCCTATACCTGCTTCAGAAGAAACGTCTTCATTCAACGCAGGAATTTCAAGACAATCAAATATTTTCTGGTTATTGTTGGAGTTATGATTGATTCTTAGCAAATTTTTGATAAAACAAAATGGGAGAACACCTCACTATAGCTATGTTACAAAAATATTCAAAGTTTGTTCCTGTTCGAAATTAAAACCTATACGTATTTAACTTACTCTCGCAGATTATCCTCATTATGTTATCCATGACTCAGCACACAGCACACAGCACACACAAGTGTGAATTGCTCAATCCAAATTAAAAGTTCTTGTACGAAGCAATTTAACTTTAAGAAGGAAGCGAGATTTTCATGCTCAAGAAGCAACATCATCTTGGTCAAGAAGCAGGATTATCTTGCTTAGATCTTGGTTTTAAGCAAGATGATCCTTCTAATTAGGCCAGATGATCTCGCTCATCACAGCAATTTCATCTTGCTTCTTAAGCCAGATGATTTCCCTAGTAGGCAAGATGATGGTATCGCTAAGTAATCTGATCTGGCTTTCCATGCAATCGAATCTTCGAAGCGAAATGAAAGATTCAAACTGACCCTCCAGCGCATTCGTATCCTCTGACATTTCGTGGCATAATGAAATAATAATTAAGAGGAACTCCACCTTTGCCATGAAATTGTTTTAACTGTATTGTTAAAACATTCGCTTCTTCAAGTAGACATATTATAGCTATATTCTAATAAGTATGCAACGAACAATATACTTTCAAAAATAGTAGTTGGGAAAGGTATCATCAAAAAGGAATCGTTCAAAAGGACTACGACTACGACTATCACAGATAATTAATAAACTTCAAACATCCATAATTGCCCAAAAAAAATACTAAAAAAATCTTTTGTTTTCATGTTTGTTTTCTTATAATCCTGAATTCAAATTCTTAGGGTATTATTATTGTTAATTCTGAAACCTTTGCTTCTTCGAAAACCACTTGATTCAATAAATTATTGATGACAACATACTTTCAAAACTGAAATAGTTGGTAAAGGTATCATCCACAGGGACCCGGTCAAAAGAATAAGTGCTAGTAGAAGATTACACTTTCTCTACGACTATCACAAAGAATTAAATAACTTCAAACATCAATAATGGATTCATGTACCTGCTCAAAAACAATCTCCAGATTTTTTTAATTTTTTTTTCCTATTCTTGGATTAAAATTCTTGAGGTATCATTATTAGTTCTGGAGGCATTTAATGACGAATCTTCTTTTTCGAAGATTTCTATAATATAAAATAAATGCGGTTTCTCACTGCTTTGACTCTCTAATCGAACGTCTCTCTGAATAATCGTTTGCGGTTGGTTCGTGTGTTTCTTTCTTTGTTCACTATAAAAAGTCCAATGCGATGAAGAACTCGATGACGAATCGATCATCAATGCTTTTGGATATTCCATCATTAACATAATTTGTATACAATTTCAAATCTAGCAAATTAGGATTCAGATAGATGTCAAAATGAATAGTAAGACAAATACAACAGATAACTGTTCGGTTTCTTGAGCCTATATAGCAACCCTCGAATAAAAAATTGTCATCGCTGTAGATAGCTCCTAGCTCCTATAATCATTTCAGAAATTGCTTCAAGAGATGCAGCTGTTCCATTGGTCTAGTTATCATATTTTCGAGAGAAAGTTTGCTGAGATATGTATTTTCTGCACCCTGGAAATTATTAATAGACAATCCCATCTGAATCGATGTATATAACATCGGTCACTAATAATTATGACCGACAATCTGACATAACGGCTTCGAATAAGGAGTTTTTAATCTGTATTTGATTGTACTTTCTTACTACCGCCTCATACTTTCACCATAGACTACCAGATTGCATTACAGTGACCCAGTAGCGGCACGAGGATTAGTATATAAGAACTATAAGATTTATAAAACGAAGATTTTAAAAAAGAAAAAGATTTTTTGGGGAAAGGGTATATTATTATACTGGGTGTTTCCTAATTGAATGTCAATATTTGAGGAGGCGATCCTTCGGCCCACTTTATGCCATTTTTCATTGAAATATCTGAAGTGGTATCACAGATATTGATAAAAAAATATATTTTTCTCGAGAACTTCAGGGAATTATAAAACACCCTGTATAGGTGTGATTTATCGACTCCACTTGTTCGGCCGCCACTGGAGTGAATATAGAGTCTGCGCTGGACCGAAGGCTGATCGTTGACCGTGAAATTACAGCAATGCAATTACCTCTATCCAACTTCCTCTTAATCTATAGCAGGATGTAAATATATACGACTTTAGTTTCGGAAAAAGTGAAAGTCCTGATGTTTGACTAGAAACATCCTGTCATTTCTTCCAAAGATGGGCGAGATTTTTCAATGTTGATATGCTCACTAACCTAATATTTTCAACTTCCACTTCTTTTTCCTACCTGGCACTGGCGCGGTATTTGCTATCAGGGCTGGCATATAAATTTTGGACGTTTAAAACGTCAATTATGTTTGAAGCCAGAATGATGGATGCAGTGTGCACAACTGCCGCAAGCCACTCGTTTATTGTCTCTATCATGGAGTACTCATATGAATAAAACTCGTGATACTATTTCTTCTATATACGGCTCGAAAGTTTCGATTAACGATATCATTCTGCGAAATTATTAGGCAACAAGCTATCGACCTGGTGGTTTATGAATGTATGATAAATTGATATTCATCATACAGGTATTACATATGAAACAAAAATTCGAACATCTTTGAAAATTGAATAAACCTGATCTGTAAATTCTGGTAGAGTATTCTCGCCAACCGGATTATTTGTTACGATCCGCATGTTTCATTCTGATCAAAAGTGACTTCGTTCGACTCGCAAATTTTGCTTTCGCTCGGCTTCGCTATGTAATCCTGCATATACTTAGCAGGAATATGCATTATGCAATATGTTTTATTCACTGGTTGCTTTTTGGAGGCTTCGGAATCAGGAACTTCCGCATCCTCCAATATTTTTTTTATTTTTCGTTTTTAATCACTGTACTCGACGTTCCGCACAACAATTTCACTTTCATTGACCGTCAATTACAATAAAAATGAGAGCGAGCCTCCATTATCTTCGCTTTCTTCGGTGCAACGCTGATGGTTTCTATTCCATAATAGACACAGAAAAATAATGAGTATATACGTGATTCAGACGAACTAGACAAGCCCAGTCAGCACATCCTTTCGTCGTCAACCTCGAAAGATGTCGAACAGCACTTTATCAAGACTCCTTCATCCATAGAACGGCTAGGCTCTGGAATTCATTGCCTGTGGAAGTATTCCCAACAACATATAATCTCCAAAAATTCAAAAAAAATTCCAATACCTACCTCCTGTCCCTATCCTCCCTAGGAACGCACGATGTTCTTTGAACATTATAGGGATTCCCTTTCGTGCGCTCCAATCGATAAAAAAAAAAAAAAAAATTCAACAGAGAACTCGTATCTCAACAGAAAAAAATTTCGATTATCATTTAGATTACCGAATTGTTGTTCATGAAAGCTAAAAGTACTTCTTGTAAATTTCCTAAATTTCCATCAATTTTGTTTATAATATACAGGGTTTATCTAAATTGCACCGAAGAAATTCAAAGGGTATTTCCTTGTGATATTCTAGCAAATAAAGTTCGTATATTTATGTGTCCTAAGTTGCTCCATTTTAGAGATACAGGATGTTGAAGTTGGAATTTTATTTCCTGTTCGTTCACGCCCAACATACCATACGGGGGGGGGGTCTTGAAAATATTTTTTTTTAATTCCGCAGCCCCCGAAACCACTCAAACCGATTTGAAAATTTTTTTAAAAAATTTGCTGTCACAATAATTTTAATACATTCGCTCTGAGCACCCGGTATCTCTATATTTACCTTTTCGTACGTGAAAAGTTACGCCAGTTACGTTTCCATATTCCTGTTATTCACCTCAAGAACACACGAGTTTGACTCTCATCAGCGGATTCAGCAGTTTCGTATTTCATTTCTATGAATTATATCACACCATTTTTGTCTCACGAATTACTTGTAAATTTCATTTAATAAAGTCAGTTCTCTCTTGTACCTTGAAGGAAAAACATTGCTTTTTAAAAACGTTCCTCGATTTTCCAACTTCCTAATTCGCCCTCTTCCAATTTCGACGAAAGGAATAGGAGTATCTGAACATTATGAGATAACCGTAAGCCGCATAGGCATCAAACAATAACCAGTACTTTTCGAATTATCTTAAAAACGAATGATTTTATCGAAATTTTACAAGAGACAAAAAATACTCAAAAATGATTGAACACTTGAAGAAAAATAGATAGGAAGTCATTTGAGCACGCCAAAAAAAAAATATGGGGGTAAGTGTGTACTTGACCCCCAGTATTTTGAATATTTGACAGTTGTTTCCTGTTTTGTTTTCCTTACACGTTGTAACTCTTCGTGCTGAAGTAAAGTACCAATTTTGAGATTAATATCTCATTAAATACGCTAGTAATTAAAAAAAAAACAGTTTGTAATTTCCAACTTTGACACCCTGTATATCGAATATGAAGGGCTAAAATGAAAAATGGTATTTAGAAACTCATATTTTTTGCGTTCAAGAAATATATGGTTAATGGATTGACCACTTTTTAGCGGACACCCTGTATAATCTCCGGAAGTTAAAAAAAAACAATACCTACCTCCTGTCCCTATCCTCCCTAGGAACGCACGATGTTCTTTGAACATTATAGGGATTTCCTTTCGTGCGCTCAAAGCGATATAAAAAAACACCTTGTCTATTTATGAGGTTTGCTCAGTACCTGCCACTATTGGCGGAGGACCTAGCGTGATAATACCCGAATACCGTGTCCTCGCCTTCACAACACGGTTATTAGAAAACTTTTTGATATTATTCAGATTGGATTCATGCCCGGCGTGCATTCTCGTGCCATGCTAATTCGCAGCAATTTGCCGCCGAACTGGGGTAATTTGAATTTTTACGATTGGTCTAGACGATATTATTGTCGAAACGTTGTTTTTTGTGTCGAGAAAAAGTTCGAAGTAGTTGATATCGTAATTACTGGAGTTTCGCCTGATTTACGTTGATAGCAACATTATTTTATAGCACGTAAGGTTTTCGAAGATTGCATGAGATTGTTTCATGATGCGGTCGAATTGTCGCCCCAAACATTATTTTGAATTTTGAAACTTCTGAAATTGAGAATTTGCATTCTCCTTCAGACAAAAATATCTATATACGCACACATCATTCTGAATATTCAACAGAAGTTTTTATATTTTATTTTCAAACTCTTATCGTGTGTGTTCAATAGATATAATTCAATGTTCGTCGTGGCATATAGCCAGGATAGTTTTCTATTGAATAAACTGAAAAAGAGTAGATATTCTCATCACATAGAGAATGCGAAATCTCAAGTATTGCTTCATATAAATATATATCCATTTTTGTATGTCCCTAATTTATCTGAGAATATTCCTTCTCAACACTTTCATATCCAATTAGGAGGTTCAAACTTGAACGAAGGAAACTTGTGATTTTTATAGACCTCTAATCGCAGATTCGTGATAGAGTCTCAATTCAGAATTTCTTTCCACGCCCTGTATGATGAATGTCAATTTATCATACACCCAAAAGCAAATTGTGAATAAATCTTCATTTTGTGTTCGACTATCTTGAGTTATTTGAATCGATAACCGCATTAAAATCGAAACAGATACCCCATCCACTGATTTGTAAAAGATCTACAGGGTGATTCTTAACCTCCACAAAAAATTAAATGTTGAAATCCAGGCCTGTTAATGAAAGAACATTGGGCGTAAGCATTGAAAACGTCAGGCCTTACTTTTATTTATGAAATTTATGCGTTGCGAAGTAATTATCTTCGAATGAATGAATTTTGTTGTCAAACTTTCGTATTTGCTTATACTTCATCGTTTTTTTTTAAATTCTGTGGAATTGTGAGGAGAATTTTGAATATTTTATTTTCGATATCAGTTTGTGTGCTTTGAAAATCACCTGTCACAGTTTACCAAAACCATATACATGATGAACTTTTTGATGAGAACTAAACTATCGAAATTTTTCATAAACGGTCCTGGATTTCCCAGATTCTGGAAATGTCAGTCGATTAGGGTTCAGTAGAAGAATATTCAATGAAAAAATCAGACGAATCAACGGAGATGTTGAGAAGTTATGACCAGAAGACATTTTTGCCAAATCTCATAATCCACCCAATATATTGGTAGAGAAGAGAAGAAGACACTTTCTGATGGTCATTTGGTATTTCCCTCAAGGGCCTCTATTCATGGTTGGAATATGTACCTACAGTTCCTCATGACTTTTTTTACTATTTTTGTTCCTAGAATCTGTGATTGAAATCTTAGTAGGTAATTTCGAGACACCCTAAATATGATGCCAGCTTTATGAAAATCACAGCAAACTTAGAAAATGAGAATTACTTCGATTTCTTCAGTTCGCTAACCTTCGACCTCAAAGAAACCAAACGGTCACAACGACAAAACGACCATCACTCGCGTAAATATATTGCATAAAGTGCAGGAACAAGCGACAGGTGACGAGAGTGTCACATAAAGCTATGTTTGCCTTTCAACGACTTGCGATCGTCGGATAACGACGCCATAAAAATTAGTACCGCAAGGTTCTCTCCTCCTAATGAATGGGGTAGTAAAGATAAGGCGCGTGGAGGTATGTATAGAGGGAACGACACTGTTAATCTGCTTTCGGGTGTTAACTGCCACACATATCCTGTATCCAGTGTGCTGGACGATGGTGTTTTGTTAAATTTCGTTGGACGTTAACAAAGGGGATTATAATATATATGAATGTATAGGCGTTCGAATGAGGTCATTCAAGCAGAGAACGAACAATTATCTGAAGGTTTCGGTTGATCCGCTTTCGAAATATTTGCTCAGAGTATCAGAATGTTAGAATAAAAATAAGGTAAAACTACATTTATCATGCGATGGAATTGTTCGAAAAAAATTTTTTTTGTGCTTTTTTCGAGATATTTCAAGAAAAAGTTCGAAATTTCACCTTCTTTTTCCCCTTGTGTTGGATGCATTCACAACTACTTGCTTTTGTTATTTTGTCATTGGACACTTTATATACTCATGATGTACTTCAATGACACATTTTTATATAAAAGACTCAACGGGAAATATGATATTTATTGCGAGTTTTCCATATTTAGTGAACAAGCATACCAGATGACGGTCATTTAATCAATAGCCAATCCAAATACGAGATGTCAAATGTCAACAGATTGCTTTTGAATGATATTACACACGCTATTATTTCAAATGATAGTCTTCCTTCTTTTCACTGAATGAGTATAGATAAATCACAAGAAAATCATATTTCTAGTTGACTCATATAAAAGAAAAAAATGTGTCGTACATTGTGAAATAATATAAATTGTCTAATGATGCAAAAAAAGGGAAAATAGTTCTAAATGCGATCCAGAAGACAGGCGGAAAAGAAGGTGAAATTTGTAACTTCATAGTGTAGAAATATATTATTAAATAATGGTTTGTTCACATTTTTATTATAAAATTCGTGTTTTTCAGACAAAAATACGGAAGTAGCAAAAAAATGTTCGAAAAACAACCCATCGAATGATGAATGCAGTTTTACCAGAAATAATTTTCACTGTCCGTTCGAAACGATATTTTCAACCGTTTTCGAGAAAAATGCAATTGAACAGTTCCAACTCTCGGAAGGGGATTTCAAATATAATTTATTCATTCATTTATGATGAGTGTACTTTGGACTGTCACATAATTGTTGCTGGTGAATCAAATTCCTTGTCAGTGAATGAATTTTTATTTTAGTTTATAGTCAATACTTTCTCAATTGAAAGGCCTTTTCAACCCAAAATTCAGCAATCTTGATGATTTTCTGGAAAAAATACAAACTTATAGTCAGTTATCCGAATCAGAATCAGAATGTTAAAATAGGAATAATTTTGGTTATCCGGGCGATGAGACACAAATATGTATAGATTCGAAATTCTATAGTAAACTTTTACGTCGACCTAGATGGTTTTCAACAGAAAAAATCAGCATTTTTCAAGTTTGGTTATCCGTTCGAACGGATAACAACTTTGCAAATTTTCCCGTCAAATTTCAAAAATTGCGTAGTTTTACATTGAAAACCATTTAGTTAGTTCAAATCTATAGCCATTTCATAACAAATTTGTTCAGCCAAATCTCTAATCGAACGGATAACAAATTTGCAGAAGAAACTCAGAATACCTATTGGGTAATGTGTTTCTCAGAAGATGTCCAGCTACGGAAATTATTTTGACAATCATTTGAGTAGAGCTATTGTGCGATTATCAAGTATATTTCAACTGACAATAGCATCCTATATTATGACATAGTCAACAAAGCCCTGGGTAAAGGTATTCTTAGATTTCATAAAAGGATTATAGATGTATTCAAGGAAATGGTCAACGATGATTTTGTAAAACCGTTATTGGATAGTCTTTTGATCAAGAGAACAAATTGTATTTTCCAGCCAGAGATGAATAACCTGGGAATATAATATAATAATTTCAAATTTCAATATTCACACGCGGCGAAGATTGAGGGAGACATTGGAATCCTCACCAAATCACACTGTTTATGGCGTGTATCAAGGTATACTATTATAAAAATCATTCTTATCCAGTTGTGTAATATAAGTCTGGACAATCGCACGATATAAAATCGCATCAGTGGTGCAAAGACCACTCTTAAATCCACGGATTTATATAATTCCTTTTTGTTTAGTACTTGATGGAGTTGAAGACGTACAATAAATAAGTTCCGTTTCTTCTGACTGTACATACAGGGTGGGCACTTTCAAAGGGAAAGTCCTATTCCCGTACTAGATAGAAAAAAACTGATGTTGGTGCCTGTTGATCAAGTCACATGACAAACTCAATAGTGAAAACTGCATATCGATATACAGGGTGTCTGTAAAAGGTCTTTACAAAAACATAACACATATTCCCTAGACCAAAATGAGTCGATTTAAGTAAAATTACCTTAGTACAAAGTTGCATCGTTTGGGCTCCAGAGGGCCTTGAAGTTACAATTTTTAAATCGTTTTTCCCATATAAATTTAAAACGGCATATGTGATTTTTCTGAAATTTGGTATATTGATAGAGTTTTATGTGGCAAAAAAAGTTGTGTTAAAATGTTGTCCGATAATAATACATAGGCGTAGAACTTGATTTTTTAAATAATTGCTCCTCAAAAAATTCTACGCCAATGGAAGAAAAGGAGTTTGAGTACGAAATTTAGGATTGCGCAACTCATTTACTTCAGAAAAGGTACTCTTGATAAGACTTGATTGCCCTCATGGTTTTGACGAAATTTGCATTTTAGTAATTTTAGAACATAAACAATAATTATTAAAATACAAACTTTGTCAAAACCATGAGAGTAAATCGAATCATACTCAAACCCCTTTTCTGCCATTGGCATAGAATTTTGCTTGAATATGTGTGTAGCCGGATGAAACTTAACCTATCAAGAAGGCGAGAGGAACCCCAAAATAATGACAACCTTATTAGAAGAATGGGAGGCAATATCAATAGACTTCATCAACGACCTCGCAGAATCTATGCCAAACCGATTTCATGAGGTTATGTTGAATCGGGGAGGCCCTACCAAGTAATGAAATTTAGGATATAAGACTTTCTAGTCGGATGTTTATAATGCTGAAGGATTCACTAATGTCATATTTCGCCAGTAGAGCCCATTTCGAATAGTTTTAGTGGATATAAAGTGTTATAAATTTTATTTTCCATCTCGTTTTACTTCTATAAAATTTTCAAGTGATAGATTTCTTATGTAATATCGTAGTTGTGAGAACATTCAAAATCCTGATGGTATCTCCAAAAATCGTCTGAAAATCTACTGGAAATAAACACCTCAGAACTGTCTAATAATATGTTCAATCAAATGTCAGATTCTTGAGAATGCTGGTAACGATGCTGGTTTCCAAATTGTTAAGTTTATTAAGTGTTGTAAAGTGTGTTTAATTGAACTGAACATTTTTGATTTTTTGACGCCC